GGCCTCATTGCTGGCTGCAGTCATGTCCTCATCTCATATATAAAACACCTGTGATTCACAAATACTTAAGGAACTCGCATTCACATAAAGTAGCCTTGTTGAAAAGTTTGGTTGAGTAAGGGCAAAACGCACAAGATGCAGTACTTTCAGTGACCTGTAATAGGCAGTATCACATCTTTTGTAGCAGAAATGAACTGCTGCAGAAAAAGCTAGGTCCATGCAAAATTTAATGTGTAACTGCAACACTCATTTCAAATGTAGTGGAGTAAAGAGTACAGATACTCATTAAAAAATGTAGTGAAGTAAAGAGTAAAAGTTGCTAATATCTTTGATACTCAGTACAACTACAAAGTACCCGAAAAGATACTCAAGTACAGTAACTAATTACATTTACTCCAATACTTTACACCTCTGACAGTTACTTGACTTTATAGCTCATGACATGTAAACTAAACTATAATGAGCAGTTTCTAAATTATAATTGGCAAATTTATGAGTGATGCACAAGACTTGAAACTAGCACTGATTTACTATGCCTTGATTTATCAGTTAGAATATCCAGATACATTTTGTTCAAAATTGCTTAATATTTCTGTAATATACAAAGTATCCTAGAGAGCTGAATATGAAAAGGATAGTTCAACCAAAAATGAAAATTCTAGGCTACTATCTATCATTTACTACCCTCAGTTTGTTCCAAACATGTATGAGTTTCTTTATTCTGCTGAACACAGAGGACATTTAGAAAACTGTGGTTAACCAATCAGTCTCTGGTCCCCATTGACTTCTATAGTATTTTCTCCATACTCTGGAAATCAATGACTAACAGCAACTGTTTGGTTAACCAAAATATCTTAATATTTTATGTTCAGCAGAAGAAAGAAATTATACAGCTTTGGGTGTATAATCACTATAGTCACCCACAACTCGAGGGTGAGTAAATTGTGATAGAATTTTCATTTTGGGGTGAACTATTGTTTTAATGTCTAAATATTGTCTATGAAAATCTTTAAATTTATAAAGGTTTGTGTGAGGGTTTAATTTAATTAAAAATGTAATTGTTAACATTAATTAAAAATACAACTGTTAACTGTTAGTAAATGCAGTGCATCTGTGTTGTAAAGTAAAGTGTTACCCAAAATACAATTAGGTGAGAAAGCAGAGAGTGTTTTGGTGTTCAAATCCCTAGAGCCATGTTTCTGTCTTAGTCCCTTTTATAACAGACAGAGTAAAGCTACTTAGAGAAAATTAGTTTCTCTCTCTTTCTTTCTCTCTCTCTCTCTCTCTCTCTCTGTGTGTGTGTGTGTGTGTGTGTGTGTGTTTGAGCGTACGTGTGTGCGTGCATGTGTGTGTGTGTGTGTGTGTGTTAGTTGTGCCTATGTGTATATGTTCCTCTTCTAATGAAAGCACTTGAGGTGTCCTGAACCACATATTAAAGTGCTCTCTCAGTGCAAACACACATGCCCACTAATTAACCCTATGCTTTCAAAGTCCATAGTCCTCAGTTGTACACTGCAGAAGATGATGTTTCAAATGATAATGTTTTATGAACCAAATAGTTGTTTGTTAACGTTTGTTTTCCCTCTCTCATATTCTCGTTCTTTATCTCTTAGTCTTTACAAGACCTGGAGGGTGTCTCTCTCTACACGCTATCTCCCAGCAGCCCTTGCTCTCCTACTCACACACCTTTGGCCACCCAACACCACCTGCAGTTACTCCAACAACAGCTGCTACAGCAGCAGCAACAAACACAGATCGCTGTTGCACAGGTAAGACATTGTTTACCCTTTTCTAGCTCTAGGAGGCGCTACAGCTCTATGAAATTTGCAGCAGTTGATTCCGTATTTTCAGGCTGTTTCACAATCATCTTCTCGCCAACCAGAGTACAGATCTATTCACCTCACCTCACCTCACTCCAGCAATTTCAGAGGCACATTTCCTGCATAACCCTATTTATTTTTCTTTGTTGAAATGACTACTGATAGCCTTTGTTAGAAAGCACTCACGTACCCTATAAGCCCAAATCATTCTCCATAACCATGAGGAAGCAAATATAAATATAGGGGAGACAGAACAAGATGCTGATAGAGGCAATCATCTTGCTGCGTTTGCCTGTTTATTTTTGTCATTCTGTCTCCGACTAATGATATTAGTTCTCATTTGGGATACTGTATAGGGTTCAGATGCTGTTATGGTTATAATGTCCTGTAAGAGAGAGAGGAAGCTGATGTGTTCTCAGCTCTGATTCAGCACAGTCATGCTATTGCATAGCAATAGCTTGGATAATGAGATTAATGTACAATCACCCCCCTGCCCAGAGAAAAATTTTTTTATTCTTTCATATCTCAGGAGACTTAGATTTTAGTTTATTTTGGGTGTCAACCTTGTCTCAGGTGTTTCTGAAACAAATCAGACAAAATGAATTTGAATAGCAGAGTTTATATTGAAACTAAATTTGACATTTGATTGCTCTTTTTTTTTGTCAAATATGAGCACAGTTTTTAATATTGTTGTGATCTCATTTTAAAAAGTCTAGAGCACTGGCTCTTTACCAGGGGGCCTCAGCACACTAAGAACATTCAGTTTTTGGGATTATGGAATTAATTATTTTAATTTTGCCACTCACTCAATTTGAAAATAAGCAGCTATGTCATTCATTATTTTATTTAATTATTTTAATATTGCTACTCCTAGATTCAGTAAATACAAAGTTTGAAAATAAGCAGCGTTGTCATTATAGTTGACGTTTCAGGATTGTCTTTTGTGGACCTTTAAATATTGCCATTGACAATTATAGAGTCAAAAAGGTTGAAAACCACTTCTCAAGAGTAGATTCTCAAGAGGGGTGTTTTTTCTCACAAGAAGTCTCTGTTTGCTCTCTATGTGTCTCATTGCTATCTAGGAGAAACAACTGAGATATTAAAGAGATCTTTTTTGCTTTCCTATGGGCTAAATCTCCCAAACAGCTGCACAAATGAAGACAGCAAAATAAAGCCTCTGCAGGAAGCCACTTTAGATTCTTTGAAAATGATCGATTAACAGAATAATAGATTAAAAGCTTAATATCTGTCATTGCTACTGATACACCAAAAACACAGGTTAGTATTTGGAGAATCAACTCTATACTCTATATTACCTGAAATAAGAGTGGTTTTAATCACTATAATCCTCAACTCATATCCTACCTGTAAGTTAGGATATCTTTCAGTAAGACCGGCATTATTCTTGACTGAGCGTGTCTCTGCTATAGGTGCAGCTCCTGAAGGATCAGCTGGCCGCAGAGACGGCTGGCCGCAAGGAGGCGCAGGCCAGAACTCACCAGCTGCTGCTGCAGAACCGAGACTTACTGCAACATACAGCCCTGCTGGTGAAACACCTCAGCCAACTGGAGATCAGAGTCAGTGGAGCCACACAGAGTAAGACAGTCTCTCTACACTCAAAAACTAATTATATATTTGAATATTTTGCAAGAAACTTAAAAATATATTGTATTTTAAACTGATAATCAATACAGTTCATAGTTTAATATTGTACCATTGTTTATGATTGGGTTATTGTCCATGCTTCGTGAGATGAGTATTTCATTCTCTCAATTACACCACAGTTTAAAAGTTTGGGGTCAGCAAGATTTATTTTTGAAGAAAATAATACTTTTATTCAGCTAGGACATATTAAATTAATGTAACAGTACATACATTTATAATTTATTTATTGCTGCTAAAAATGTTGCCTTGCCATTACAGGAAAAATACTGCATTTTAAAATATATTAAGTTCTTTTAAATCAATATTTCCCAATATTGCTGTTACTGTATTTTTGATAAAATTTTGAATGGTAGTGTATATTAACAAGAATTTAAGCATGTTTTTGTTTCTAATTTTTATTTGCTTAATAAATGTATTGGTCACACTGGCCTCAATAAACTCCTACTTTGCTGCTTATTAATAGTTAGTAAGTTTAGGTATTGGTAGGATTAGGGATGTAGAATATGTTCATGCAGAATATGTGCTTTATAAGTACTAATAAACAGCCAATATGTTAATAATAGGCATGCTAATAAGCAACTAGTTAATAGTGAGAATTGGTCCCTATACTAAAGTGTTACCAATGTATTTTTGTGATTTCTGAAAATAACTTTTTGCTTTTAGTCAAACATCATATTGCTGTGATTCATCTCTTAGCTACTTGGTTTGGTTCATAGCTAAGAACTTTTTATAAGATATTTCTACAAAGAAAATGAATGGGAAAAATACTTCCAGAACCCAGGCTGCTGAAAAACTGGGTGGTCACTGTTGGGCTCTATTACAGTCATAGACACACACATTCTTTTTTGACAGGCTGGTATGTTATTGAGTTGGTTGGTGTACACTAATCTATTTCAGAGTTTAGTGCAGGAGTTTATTGGGTTTGATTCATCAGCACTGGGCTCCATGCCGACTTTCACTTTCAGAGTGTGTGTGTGTGTGTGTGTGTGTGTGTGTGTGCGTGTGTGCATATGCTTATGCCTGGTGGGATGATGGTGTTGTCTTTGATGGATGGTATGATTGGTCATTTGGAGAGTTATTGAAATAGTCTGTCACCATTATTCCCTTGAGTGTCTGTCACTGAAGGGCTACTGTACGGCCAGTCTCTCAATAGCAGATTTTTTAATCGTAAGCTTCATTTACATAAGTGTTCAAAACATTCTGTAGGTATGACATCTGCATCCTCTAATGTTATGGACTGTTTCAGGGTGGCTATTAAGAACTTTATGTCTCAACTTTGTATTTGTGCCTTCTAGAAGAAGAATCCCCATGGAGTAGCATGTCCCCTCGTTCTCTCTCTCTCAACCTGAAGAACCTCTACACCCCTCACTCAGACCAGCCCGTCACCTCCACTCCAGCAGGACAGCCAGAAAATCCTCCTGTTTCCTCCCACGCTGAGTCCTACCTCAATCTGCTCAACCTGCGTGGTGCTCCCACCATTACAGCCAATGGGAAGCCAGCGAGTGCGAGAAGTGAAGCGGGACTGGACGCAGCAAGAAGGGAAGTTGCTAAGCTAGAAACTCGGAATTCAACAGCACTTGATGAGAGGTAATGGCACAAGGCAATAGCATTTACATAAACTTGTATGTATACAAATAAATTAGTTTGAGTCTGGCAAAGATATATATATGCAATAAAAATATCGGTATCGGTACTCGGTATCGGCAAGTACCAAAAATAAAAGTATCGGTATCGGGCGAGTACTGGAAAGAGTGGTATCGGTGCATCCCTAATATATATATATGTGTGTGTGTGTGTGTGTGTGCACAAACTACTGTTCAAAAGTTTGAGGTCAGTAAGTTTTTTATGAATACTTTATTCAGCTAGGATGCAGTAATTGATCAAAAGTGACTAAAGAATTTTACATTGGTATAAAAAATCTATTTAATATAAATGCTATCTTTCTATTCTTTTCTGTATCAGTACAGCTCTTTTCAACATTATTAATAATAAGAATGTTTCTTGAGCAACAAAATCAGCATATTAGAATGATTTCTGAAGGATCATGGGACACTGAAGACAGGAGTAAATTTAAATTGTCATAATCTTTCAAAATAATAATGTTTTTACTGCATTCTTGATTAAGTAAATGCTGCCTTGGTGACCATTAGAGGCTTCTTTTAAAAACATAAAAAATCTTACAAATCTCAAACTTTTCGCCTGAAGTATAAAAAAAGAATAAAAAGAATGTGACAAAGAAAGAGGTAAGTACAGAAAGGCAATGTTAAAATGTTCCTATTTCTTAGCCAGTCAAGTTGCTCCTTTCCGATCTGTAATTTAAACATACTAAAATCTGAGCTGCAACATCTGGACAAAATAATCACAGTGTGTCAGTGTGTGGAACAGAGTAGAGCAGCATCAAAACAAACCCAGAAATACAACGGAACTACAAAAAGTTTCAGCCGTTATGGGTCTCAGACTCTCCAAAATGTTTAAAACCATTGAGCAGATGTTTATGTTTGTGAAGATTTTACTTTTTTACCACATTTGGCTGGTGTTTGGGTTTTCTAAAACTAGTTCACATAATCCCACCTCCTCTCCTCTCTCTTTCCTCTCCTCACTCCATAAACATGTAGCAGACCTGTCGGAATGAATATTGGTTGTGAGCAATGTAAACAAATCTAATGAAAGTGTATTAGAAGGCAGAGAGCAATCTTTCCACACTGACTTTTGGCTGGCAAGTTTCCTTGAATAGTAATGGAAAATTTTGACTTTTGTTGGGTACTGCACATTCATCGCTCTCTGTGTGTGTGTGGTTAGTGCCAGCGGTAAACTGTTTTTGAGCTTTGCAGTACACGCCTACACCCATTCCTTCTTCTGCTAGAGATGTTTTCTTGCTTTGATTGGTTAGTTGTTTGTCATAGATTGCTCAATTGTTATGTAACGAAAAGAGTGAAAGCATGCATGTGTTTTTGTGATTGTATGCGTATATGCTTGCTTCTCGATCTGTGTGTGTGTGTCTATAAATGTATTCAAGAATATGTGTGTGTGTGTGTCTGGGAGAGTGATTTATTTCACAATTATCATGTCCCTGTAGATAGCTGCAGTCTCTCACACACAGAAAACATTCATTTTCACACTTTATTAGAGCAATTTAGAGCTTGCAGAAAACCTCACACTTACGCGCGCACACACACACACACAATTAAAAACACACTTACTGATTTATGTACACTGACGACACACTCACAGTTGCAGGGAAAGACTCAAAAATATGCACACAGTCACTATAACACATACTAACATCATGAACAGTTTGCTGCTAAAATACATACAAGGGCAGTTCTTTTTTTAAATTAGCATGTATTGGTTTTAGTGTGCACTATAAGTGTATTATGGTTAAAAAGGAAAGTTATGGATGCGTTCTGTTTTTGTTACAGTATTTTGTAGCCAAAAGTACAAAGCCAGCCCAGCACTGAGCCCAATTGCATTATTTTTATTAAAGCAAAGAAAATGAAAACAAAACAATATATAACAAGACCTCCGACTAGACTTCTTATAACACTTGACAAAATGAGTTCAGGTACACAGACAGGCTACACTAGAAAAGGCCTGTACACTATATACACAAATGAACTAGCAATACACAGGTGGATATAATCAGGACATGTACAGGAAATACTTGTGGCTGTGAATGGAATGCTAATGTACTGCTTGCTGTGTACTGTGCAGTATAAAAAAACAAACCTTTTAACTAATAATGCTACATCATTGTCAAATGACTACACTGTGACCAAATTTACCTGAAATTCATTGTCCATATTCTGGTTAACCTTTTAATTTACTTTTCCTAGTATCCCGCAGAATCACAGACATATTTTATTTGGACATATGCAGCTATACAGTAAATATATATTCACTTATGGTAGATATTAAAAATAAGGTGTTTACATGACCCAAATTGTATACAGAAGTATGCTAGGTGTCTTTGATTTTGTCTCTGATTTCTAAACTGAAAAATTGTCTTAATCTAGTTATCGCTTTCATAATCAGAATATTAGTGCAGTACAGTTAACTGGGGTCAGTATGATTTTCTTTTATTCAGCATTAAATTGATCAAAAGTGTCAGTAAAGACATTTCTAATGTTACAAATTATTTTTTATTTAAAATAAATGCTGTTTTTTTCTTTTTAACTTTCTATTAATCCAAGAATCCGGAATTTTTTTTTATCAACAACCGTTTTACCATTGATCAGTATATTAGAATGATTTCTGAAGGATCATGTGACACTAAAGACTGGAGTAATAACTGCTGAAAATTCAGCGTTGCCACCACAGGAACGAATTACATTATAGTATATAATATATTACCATAGAAAAGGTTACTTTCAACTGTAATAATATTTCAACATTAACATTAAAACATGTTTAAAAAACATTAAAAACAGTAGTATATTATATATGCTGAAGAGAGGTGAATTGTACAGTGTTATTGTTATATTTGTCCTGTAGTGTGGCATTTCGGAATTTTATTCAACTTGCTGAACAATACGCAGTCTATGTATGAGCTGTTTTTTACAGTTTAGCTGTTTTATACTTAAAAACTCTCCTGCGTCACAGTCACAAATAATGAGGAAGTAGAGCCACAGTGTAGAAACTGTCAGACAGGACTTCAGTGTGTCATGTCATGTGTGTGTCTGCTGGGTCTCAGTGTGTGTCCATCAGTGAGTCCTCACTGTGACTGTGGTTTTATGCACCTGCCCATCATTTGTTCATTTATCTGTCACTCCTGGTGTTAATGTCAGAGTGAACTCTACATGAGATGGAATCTGTCCATTCCTCCTGGTCATGGATTAGTCTATCTGCTGTTGCATTGATCTTCCATAATCTCCACTCGCTGCTTGATTACTGCTACTTAGACTGATCACAAGTGTGTGTGTGTGTGTGTGTGTCTGAGTGTGTCTGTGTGTCTGTGTGAATGAGTTTATGTAAAGTTGAAATACAGTACATGACTTTTGCCCAGATTTGTGCCCCAATTATCAGTCTGGATGCATCAACACTAGTTGCCAAAAATCAGTCTGCAGTCTGAGTTTACATGAAAATTGCATATGATGGGCACAGATTCCAATTTTTTTTTATTTTAGACCGTGATTCCATCCAGTCAGAACATATCAAAAATATTTCATATTTTGAAATTTTAGAACAATTTTGTAATGTGTCTCCTAGCAATGAGGTGGATGTTTCTGTCTGAATGATTTGGAAGTATAGTGTGTGATCCTTAATTGTTTAGCATATGAGCACCGTTTTTTTCCTCAGTTTCCATTTACGCAGTTGGAAAGTGTATGATGCCCCAGTTTGTTCATGTAGTGGTATTCCAGCCTTTAGGTCAACTTTAGGGGAAAATTGTACACAAAAGTGAGCTAAATATGAAAGCCTCCCTTTACTGATGTTTGGGGTCTAAAAAAATGATAATGATTGCAGTGTTGCAGTGGGAGTCAGATCGGATGATTTTCTAGATGGATTTCTCAGGTGTTTAGGTGAAGAGATTTGTGTGGGTGTGAGAGTTATAAGGGAAGAGAGACTCATTTTTGTTTTTCTCTGCTCAGGTGCACGTGTGAAGAGCCTCCCCTTCTGATTATCCACTTCCTCCTGTAACAGCCTTCTTCCTCCTCTCTAATCGTCTAACCCTCTCTGATGCTCTCTCTCCATCTCATGCCCTCATCTGACCTATCTTCCTTTGTCTGAAATCGCTGATTTTTGTTTCCTCTCCACTCCTCTCTTCTACATTTTACCAACCTTCTGTGAGTATAACGGAGATTGCACTTTATTTATTTACACTGACATGCTAAATGAATGATGATTACAGTGGTGTGTGTGTGTGTGTGTGTGTGTGTGTGTGTGTGTGTGTGCGTGCGCTCATATGTCCAGAATGATGGATTTACTCGTGCGTGATTGTGCGCTTGTGTGGTCAGGTTTTACCTACACTGTGCACTGTGTAATCACCTTGTGAGGCCTCTAAAAGGAAAAAAATAAGGGAAGCACTGAAATGAAAATACTATTATATATATATGGGATATATTAAAACCGATTATATTAGTATGAAAACCATTGCATCTACGACACCTCGCTAATAGGTGTGTGTGTGTGTGTGTGTGTGTGTGTGTGTTACTGTATGTTATGTTAGAGCTTAGAGTATCATCATGTAGTACACTGGCTTACACTCTCATTACAAAAGTGGATTTATGAAGTAAAGTTTATTGTATCTGTTTGCTCTTGCTGTAAAATTCAAGGATTCAAAGGATTCACGGATTCAAAGCGTTTATTGTCATATGCCCAGTGAGGAAAACAAGTTTCCCTGAGCAATGAAATTCTTACTTTGCTGTCCACAATGAATGCCAAGACAAGTGCAAAACTATACACACATATATACACACATACATACATACAAACGTAAGAAACATAATAATAAAAACTATGCTGCAGGAGTAGGACTATAGACTATGTATATCTATATATGCGAGTATAGAGTAGGGAATAGACTGTGAAAAATAGAGATATAGACTATGTACAGTATATCTATATATGCGAATGTACAGTATTAACTTATGTCAGTGTACAGTATTAAATGTCAACAGGGTTTAAATGCATTAGTAGATACTTTATTATGCACATATGTGGACTTCACACACTAAATTCCCGTTCAAGAATAAAAATAGTATCTGTCTACACATACACACACATGACCATGATCAGGAGCAAGTCTAATGCTCTCCCTCAGGGAGCTTTTAATATTTCATCTGATGATCACAATCTCTCAGCAGCAGCCCCCATCCACAGCTCCTGTGCCTCCGCAACGGCTTAACAAGTGCAACATTGAATAATGAGATTTTGTATTATGAGAAGTAAATTAAGCTCATCCTTTATTGATGCTATGGCATTTTACACAAGACTTAAGGTTATATTGTTAGACTTATTAAATGGGTGGTGTGACATTTCATCGCAAGAGCTCCACTGCTATTCAACATATCATTCCAGTATTTGCAAGATTTATAAGGGCTCTTCACATTTAAAAACACATATATATATATATAACAGCACATGTACACTGAAAGTCATTGCAGTACCAGGCAGGAGAGGTGTATATTAAAGAAAAATATTGAAAATGAAATTACTGAGACTTTTCGACACCCACAGGAAGATGAGTTAATATAAGATCCCCTGAGACGAGGAGACAGCAGGAGGCAGAGTGCTCTCTGGAAAGATGTGGAGGAGGAGATGTGACAGGGTTTGGTCGGGGGCCAGACAGAATTGCTGATGTGATCATATGCTAATTGGAGGAAAGAGAGAAAATGGAAAAGAAACTCCAGAAAGAAAGTCCAAGATCAAAAGGCTGTAGCTTTGTATGTGAAGTTACACTGAATGTGTTGGATTGTATGTGTATTTATTAGTGTATCAATGAAGTATTATTCATATAGGATTAGGGATTTGACCAAACACCCAACCTTGTTTGGCTGATTGAAAAGAAAAGTGTATTACTACTCACTCTAAGAGATCAGACTTAAAATTTTGGGAAAAAATCTCATAGACAATGAAGGCAGCTCTTGAGTCGTGTCTAGAGAACAGAACATCATAGAGACTTAGGGGTGGGCTCTTTTAACTTGAAACAATAACCAATCACTGACCAGCCACCTAGCAACTGCATAGCAACACATGAAAAAGCACTTTATCCATCTTAGAAACTACACTCTGACAACCACCCACAAGCATTGTGGCAACTTTTACGCAGGCAGAAAATGTACGCATCTACCTTAAGTAGCCTACTATGTAGTTTGTGTTTAATGTATTTATTTACATTGAATGTGTATCAAGTGAGTGAGAGAAAGAGATAGACAGAGTCTTATGTTGTGCTTTCTCTGTCCCATGCTGAGTGACTGCATTGCAGTTATTTTTAGTAGAGCCATCAATACAAGAACCTGCAGCTCTGTCTGCCATTTTCACTCTCCCCCTCTCTTTTCGCTCTCCCCCTATCTTTCTCTACTTAATTCACCCAGCAGGGGAACTGTGGGACAGAGATAAGTGCACACACACACGCACATGCAGAATGGAGACTGTCTTAAAGAATTGTGTATGAGCTCTTTCTGATGATTCAGCAACTGTTCACCACACAATCCCATCTCCCTGCTGTGATTTCCCTACAGTTCTGACACAATGTCCTGACCTGACACGCCATGATAAGTGATAAAAGGCTTTCATCCATGTATCAGCTGCTAATTATCTGCAATCATGACAAGCACTAGGATATTTTAACTGGGTGCTGTTTTTAAAGCGCTGTGCTGTATAGCCCCGCCTACTGAAATCTCATTGGTCACAAATCCACATAACCACATAATCATTAAATACTTTATTTTTTGGCTGTGGGTGTGTCATGTTGCATAGCAGTAGTGGTGGGGATTTTTTTTTACTTGTTCACTTATTTGTTCATTGATGTCTCTTGGTATAAGTCCCTGAAAGATTAACTTAGATGATGTATTAAGAAACACAGAGTCATATTATAATTTATTCAAATTTGCATGCCTACAAAGAGACTCCAGAAAGCATAAATTTAAGCATCATTAATGTTTTCCCCACAAATGACAAGCAGATCTATTGTATTTATTTTATATTGTACTCTACCTTCTGTTCATGACATTTATCAAGTTATTAAAATACAACAAAATCCTAATATTTCTATATATTATATATAGTTTTAATCAGTATTATTTTAGTATTAGTTATATACTATTGTAGTGTTTATTATTATTTTGAAATAGCTTTTAATTTTAGTGAATTTGTTATGTGATTTTGTCATTTTCAATTTTCAATTTTTATTTTAGCTTTAGTTTTAGTAATTTTAGTACTTAAAATTAAATTTCATTTATTTGCAGAAACAAAATTTTTTATTAGTTTTTTTTTTTTCGAGTTTTTAAAAAAAATTTTTTGTTTCATTTAATATTTATATTTCAGCTTTGTTAACAAAAGCTATTTTTAATATTGTAGTTTTAGTTAACAATAACAACACTTTCTTTTTTTGGTGTGAACAAGACAAACTCACATGACACTAGAAATACGCCTCCGATGTTCAGTCAGGAAGCAGACTGAAAATGATTCTTTCATGTAAAAAGATTTTTTCAGAAACACTGATTTGTTTACAAATCTGACTGTAGCATTGTGCCCAAGTGGGATAAACGTACTGTAAATTTGACCCTGACAAGTCCATTGACTGACAAAATGTGCTTCTTTTTGTATCTATAGGTATAAACAAACCATCCCTAAACTGGACCCTCCACCTCAGCCCCTGAACCGCAAGCGTTCAAACAGGACTCTCTCTCCGGGTGTCGAAGCAGAGTCAAGATCTTCAGCTGTAGCCACACCTGTAAATGGAAACAAACTCACAAACGTAAACAGTAGCTCCTCGTTTCCTGACATCACGCTATGCTCCGTTTCACCTGGTGATTTCTATTCTCACACCACCGGTAACAGTGTGTCATGTTCAGCCAGCGAGGATTCTGGCGTGCGCTCGGATGACAAATCCCTTATATCCCCCCAATCCAGAGACGACCCCTCTGATGACCAGAGCTCTGCGTTCATCTCCACTTCCAGTACCTGCAGCAGCTTACCTGAGGATCATCCAGCTGTGGATGGAGTGACTCCACCGCATTCTACCACACCACTGGGATATGAGCAAACCATCCCGTTCTCTTCGCCTGTCAATGACACCTGCCTTCATATAAGCCTAAGCGAAGATGAGTTTCTAGAGGACAGCACCTATAATGTCGCCACCCCATGCAGGAGTTAGAATCCCACACAAAATATGTGAGAAATCAGAATGATAATAACTCCACAGTATTGAACAAACATAAAGAAGAAAGGAGGCATATTTGACAACTGATCTGTGTAATATTAGCCACAAACTCACACTGATGTTATGCTGCATATTATTTTTTCGACTCCTTTTACCAGTTTTTTCCACTCCTTGTTTCGATCAATGACTCGCCATTTTTTTTTACCATGCCCTCAAATAATTTTATCTATAAAATTTGCTGAAAGAATATTTAGTATGATACAGAGTAGACTACTATTGACAGATGGATAGAGTGTATTTTTTTAGATTGAAATGAATAGTTATTTTTAGCAATGAATGAAATGCATTGGCTCCCACTAAACTGAATAGGAACTGCTTCTGTTAGTGCTGCCGATGTGTTTTTATATTATAAGTTCAGTCTATTTTTTTTTTATTGGTGCAAATTGATTTATATATTGTTTGAATGTTATTTGGATGCTAAAGAGCAGTTATGTAGCAAAGAAATGCAGAAGTATGTTATGACTGGTGAGAAATAGATGAGAAACATATAGAAATATGAAGAAATTGAGGTGGAAAAAAACTTTCTTGCAGGAATTCACAAACTGTGCACATTTTGTTTCATACAGTAAGCTGTGTGACTGAATAGCTAAGTATGGCAGCTTGAATGGATAGATGACTGCAGACAAATAAGGGACTTGATTATGTCTAGACATCTTGAAGGGCTGAACCTCTCTGATTTTAATGCTTCACCAATCAAGGTAAAATGAGGGAAGATCATTATCACCTTTTCTAGGTGGAAAGGCTGCAAAGAAAAAAAACAGTAGTAGAGGAAAGTAGAGGTGTTGCATTAGTAATAAATGCAATAATTTTCACATCCTGTGAATGTGTACTCACTGCACAGATCTCACTGCTTTTCTCAGTTAACTAGTGTCACACTGTTGTCCTTATGATCCCTTCTTCAAATAAACCACCAGATTATCTACTTAGGAATTTAAAACAAAATTGAGCATTCATAGTAAAGCAAGTCCAAGTGTTACCTATCATTCCCAGTTCTCTGAATCAGTTCAACTCTCAATGCTTTTTCTTAATATTGAAACAGTATCTCATCTAAATCAAACACACAGAAGAAGTATTATAAATATATATTGACTACAGATCATGGTCAGCTGCTTTATTTTAAACAGACTGGAACACTCAAGACGTCAATGACCTAAAACTATGAAATAAGTGTGCTAGTTGTTGAAAAAAACAAACAGTTTTTCATGGTTTCACATTGAGACATGCATTTCACAGAGCCATGGATTTGTGTATCACACAAAAGCATAATGTATCAGGGTGAATAATAATGAAAAGAGTCAAATTAGACAAGGGTTGGACAGAAGGAAGAACTGAAGGGATTCATGTCATTTTGAAAGCAATGGTGTGAGCAGGTGCTTTTAGCTGATATGGGTTAGCATGACACTTTGTGACAAAAAGGGAAGGAGAAAGAAAGAAGATGGAAGTAGAGGAAGGAGATGAAAAAGAAACAAATAAATGGTGTTTTACCTGTATTGTTCAAATTTAAAAGAAGCAGTTGTGGCAATAAAAGTGGACTAAAATGCAAAGTGGGTTATTTTTGCAACATCATTATAAAAAAAAAAATTTTTTTAAAAAGTTCAGTTTTCTTTTTTTTTCTCTCCAAAATATGTATATGTAAAATATTTTCCACAGACCAAAACTCTATTTTGAACTATTTTAAACTCTACTCTAAATTATGCAGTGCAAAGTAAAATAATCATTGACCTGAATATTTTTTAATGGACAAAAGACTCCTCACTGACAGCAGGTTTTCATCTGATCAGTATTCATCTTTCTTCAACAATGTGATATTCTGGTTATTAAATCTTCTCACATTCATGTTTGACATAATGGTTGACCTTTTTCTTACTGTCTATAGCAATCTGGCCCTCCTGACAAGTGGTTAATTTATGAGCTCAACGGGGGAGAATTCAAGATGTCAAGTGATTTTTGACAGTGCATGATTTATCAAGTATTTGAATCCTACCAGTTTCCACCATTTTACTCCTTTAGAGAAAACAGCATGATCTTAGGCTGTATCCATGCTGTAGTGCCCAGAATGAAAATGGCAGAATAAAATTTGTCTCCTGCTGTGGGACTCACTGCTTCCCACTTCACTTACAACAAGGGAATCCCTTTTCTGCAGGATACTCATTTCACAAGGGACACGGGATATTCCTCTTACTTCATCCTCACTGAGAGAGGAAGAGGGCAGAGGGGGATGGTAATAATCGATAAATGAAGGACATGGAGACTCTTCAGTCCAATCGATATTTAGGCTCATGTGAGCTGCAGTTCTGGGCCCTTGACTGCTACACTGAAGATACTCTCCATACTCTCACAAAAAAAAAACAGATGCACTGCTTCCTTAGGATATTGTAATCTTCAATATAGATTCATTTTACAATTATTCCTAAAATTCATTAACGTCTCTCTATATAGCATAATTTTTTACAATACCTCAGAATATAAGCAAATAAAATTGTTTTAAAGATTGCAAATGAGGTGTTACTTTTAGTACTTTTGTCACTGAACATCCTTATATCATTTATTTTTGCCACCCACTTAACATTCACACCTATATTTTATTTTCTCCAAACAGATTAGGCTATGACTATATTTGATTATCACTCAACTCGTCCTACTGTCCACTTCATTTTCATTTAAAACAGAATTATTGGAACTGTTGTGTCACAAAAATCTACTTGTCACACTAATAAATTTCTGAGTTGGAATTTAAGGTTATTATGGAATGACCTGCAGAAAATCGTTTAAGTACTTGATTTCAATGAAATAACTGTTCTGTCAATCTCTTAACTTAAGCCCTATTCAGAAGGGAATAGTTTTCTAAACTAAATTTTTATCACCCGACATCTGCAATTTCATGTAAAATTGCATCGCGAATGAGACTAACATCTCCATGTTTATTACAGAGGTGGGTGCCCTGATAGCACACATAGTATGGCAAGCCATTAACATTTAATCTATACTAGTATCCAATAAAATGTAATTTAACCATTAAAAAGGAGTCCAGAAAAAAAAATGGGGAAAAAAACGGAACCCCCCCCCCCCCAAAAGCCATAAACCTAGGGGAAACACTGAGTATCTATTTTCATGCTACTAGTACTTATTTAATAGATACTAGTTATTCATTAGGTAATAGCACTTAGACACTTTTTGTAATTATTACTAGAAAAAATTCTTATCTTACTAGTCAGATCTGCTTTTTTACTCATGTTATGACTAGTCCGAATGGCCACAATAGAGTTCAATTAAAAATATTACTAGTAAAATAAAAAATTTTCCTAGTAACATTTCGAATAAGTACTACTATCTAATAAATTTTAATAAATGTTAATAAAAATCTATTGAATGAATACTAATGGCTAATCAATAAGTACTAGTATGTAACAAATAAGTACTAGTATCTAATGATTAAGTACTAGTAATAGTAAGTAGACCTACTAGTATCTAAAAACATAAGTACTAGTACCTAATGAATTACTATCGGTACATAAAAATTATTTACTAGTCACAACTGGAATGCATTCTAGTCAAAACTGAATAATTTATATGTCAATGACAGATCTCCATAGAAGTCAATGGCAAAAAAAATTGAAATTTGTTACTAGTAACAATAGAATAGTTACTAGTCACTATTGAAATAAGTACTAGTGTCTAATGAATACGTACTAATAGGTACTAGTATCCAGAGGCATCATGCCCATCCAAAACGAGGGGGCACATGCCCCCTTAGATTTTTGAGCCAAGTGTATTTTCAATGCGGCTTCCAAAAGACAAAAAAAAATATCAGAATAATATTTTTTATATTTAATACGATCACACCAGCATGATATAAACATTCAGTGCGGCACATCACCAGCTGCTAAATTCAAATCTGCGTTGACTGGTTGGCGCTTAACCCAGAAACAGACGTGTTTTTACAGCGCTGCGCATTATAACCAATCACACACGATTCTGTTGAGCTTATGAATGCAATGACCAATCAGAAACGTTCAGATGAGTTATCGCTGAAACGCTGGTGTTTTGTTCACGCACTCGCTGACTGAATTCTGCTCTCCGGCAAGTTCTCTCATCAGAAACAACAATGTGCAGATGTGTGTACGATGTAAGATATTAATTTCAGTGTAAACAGCTTCAGGGATTTTAATGGTAGTTTTTGAGAGTGCTTAAACACTGGCTAGACTATAATCAGTGAAAATGTTATTTGATAATGTAAATGTTCTTTGCTCTCTTTCTGTACTATGAAAGTGTTATAATTAGTAACTTACAATGTTTTTATTAAATTCACATTAAATACAAAGTCAGTCGTATTAAACATTTTATGGCATGACACCCATGTCTGGTACTTAAGTAAAATGACGGGTTTTTATGCGTAGTTAACAGATTACACTATTAGGCTACTTTGCCCATCACCCATTATAGATCAACTAACATGATGTGTTTGGAAATATTTCAAAGGGAAAAAAATTAAAAAATAAAACATAAGCCTACCTAGTACCTAAAGAATAAAAGTAGCTAATGAATAAGCACTAGTACTTAATGGAAAAGATACTGGAGATCAGCTGGGGTACCATGCCACTTTTGTCTGCATTGTAGAGTTGGAAGGTAACACCTGATAAATCTTGCCCAGAAGTGATCAGCAATGACTTGGCAGTGTCGCCATCTCCGCTTGCTTAGTCCCTCACACTTAGGGTAGACAACTGGAGGTAGTGCTCCATCCAGCCGCCCCATCAAGAGGACATTTGGTGTCACTGCGTCGAAGTCCGCAACACTGGACGAAGTATAACCGAGAGGTTTAGCATTCAGTATAATACTTCCTCTTCAAACTGGCGATTGGGTAAGTGTGGTCTGCCAAGCCCAAGTGTTGTGAGGTGAAAGCCTCCACTACCCGAAAGGTTTTCTTGGGATTCATAGGGGAGGAGATGTTGAATGAGACTACTGATCCCTTCAGGATTTGGACTTCCTGTCGAATGGTCCGCAGAGCAAGGTCCTCTGGCTTCTTACGCAGGCCCAGTTTGTCAACAGCTTCAGGGAGGAGCATTGTGCGCTCTGAACTATCGTCCAGTATTGCATAAGTGTCTAGTGTCCGGTCTCTGTTACGCAGTAGAACTCTGACGACTTTCAGCAGAACACGAGTGTGGTCCGATGGTCTGTCAAGATAGAGGACTTCTGTGGCAACTTTCAGACTTCGGCTGCTCAGCCGGGGGGCGGGAGTTAGCGTCGTGAAGAACTCTCAAATGCTTCCCCTGACACACATCGCAGAGCTTCTTAAGGTCACATTGTGCCGCCTGATGTACTCTCCCGCATCTCCAGCATCTCCTATTAACCCTGATCCACTCTATGATCTCCTCTTTATTGAGTTTCTGGAAATTTGGGCACTTATTTAGGAAGTGCTGTGTGCCCTCACAATATGGACAGTAAGGTTTTGCTTTGCCTTTCCACCTCTGCACAGACGAGCTTTGACCCTCTTGCCGGGATACTGGGTTCAGCGTACGGCTCTCTGCTCCATGGAGTACCGTAGCTGGTGGTCTGCTGCGACGTTTCTCAGCTCGGTAGCCTGGTAGCCCTTGGGCACGAGTGTCCGTAGGGTTGTCATAACCTTGGCACCACGACTCATATCGAAGCCATTCTGCCAGGTCAAGCAGCGTATGAGTATGTCCAGGACGATGGAACATCTGACGTCGGAAGTTAGCTCTCATCTCCATCGGAAGCTTGGTAAGGAGTCGGGCCACATGTGAGCCACATCTCAGCTCGACTTCTCCGTCTGGCCCCAGTGTCTGTAGCATGCCCACAAGTGACTGTATGTGCAGGGAGAATCTCTCAAAGGCAGCTATGTCCCCTCTTCTAATCTCAGGAGAATCCATCACCGCAGCGATCCTCTTCAAGGCGACATGATGCGGCTGGCCAAACTTTTCAGTCAAGGCTGCCATAGTGTCAGTGTACGGCTGGGGTGAGTTGATAAAGGAGTCAGCGATAAGACAGGCTTCTTCAAGTTTCACATGATCTACAAGTATCTGATACTTGAAAAGCTCCGAAGCATCAGTGGGTAGCAGGTTTGCTAAAGCTAATTTCAGCCGAGAGAACTCCATCGGGTCATTATGGACAAAAAATCCAAGAAAGGAACAGTCAGTTTGAAGCCCTTAGGAGTGGTGGTGAGCAATTAAACAGTGACTGATAGAGATGCAGGGCATGAGAGGCACATGTACCTCGCAGATACTGAGTAATGTCCTGACTTTAGATGAGTTTGTGCTGTGTCTTCAGATGGGAGTGTAACACATGAATTGTGCTGGTATTTGGTGTGGTTTGATCTGTAACAGACGAAGCAGCACTCTAATATAAGTAAGCACATCATCACAGCCTTAATACACAAACTATTGACTCCTCCCCTCACATGGACATAATAATATATAAACACATAATATAATCACAAGCTGACAAGCATTATGTCACTCACAATAACATCTTTTAACATTTTACTGGCATTATTTATCAACATGAGATATTATAACATCCTAAACATGTCTATAAACACTGTAGAGCGACATAAGCTTGAGCACAGATGAATAAGTACCGTCACGTAACATTATGCAGTCAATAAATGCGTCATACTATATAACAATGAGCATAAATCAGTACACGTGATAATATAAACCTTACTCACTCTTATAAGACGCACAAAGCACAATATACACTCGATCTGTGGCTGTAATCAATGCTATTTCTCTTCCCCAGTACCCGTGCCACTGACGAACTGATATCTGCTGCAGCTGATGCAATATGCGATCGCTCCGTGCCGAGTTGCTTCACTTCCGATCTCCCGTGTGCGTCGTACTTTCATAATAAAAGTCCCTGTTCTGGTCGTTGCTACAGTGCTCCTAATTCTCTCAATGGCCTTTTGCACAGCCGCCCCCAAATTGCATGCAATTTGCACTTGTAAAAGCCTCACACCTCAGTCACTGGAGGGCCTTTCTCATTCTCCTCTGAATCTGAAATCATTGGAAGAGTGATAAGTCGGGCAACTGGCCGGGTGTAAACTTTGTCCTTGACTTGGATGTCCGCAGATCTCACATGACCATCTGCACTCTGACGCACTCTGATCACCCTACCAACTGGCCAGAGCGCCCGGGGAAACTGCGGGTCTATCACCAGCACTACTGAATCCACTGACAGATCAGCTGGGGTACCATGCCACTTTTGTCTGCATTGTAGAGTTGGAAGGTAACACCTGATAAATCTTGCCCAGAAGTGATCAGCAATGACTTGGCAGTGTCGCCATCTCCGCTTGCTTAGTCCCTTACACTTAGGGTAGACAACTGGAGGTAGTGCTCCATCCAGCCGCCCCATCAAGAGAACATTTGGTGTCACTGCATCCAAGTCTGCAACACTGGACGAAGTATAACCGAGAGGTTTAGCATTCAGTATAGCCTCGACCTCTAGTAAGACTGTATGCAAAACCTCCTCGGAGACCGGTTGAACTCCTATGACGGTATACAGTGCAGTCTTGACAGACTTGATCTCCCTCTCCCAGGTGCCCCCGAAGTGAGGAGCTGCAGGGGGGTTGAAGCGGAAGTCTATCTTCTGCTTTGCAAGAAGGCGTTGGAGATCGGAGGACATGTTGTTAAAAGACTCACGGAGCTCCTTCTCCCCTGCTTTAAAGTTCGTACCCTGGTCTGAGTAGAGCTCAGTTGGGGTCCTTCTGCGAGCGATGAACCGCCTGAGACTCATCAGGAAGGAGTCCACGTCGATATTGTGCATGAGGTCTAGATGCACCGCCCGGGTGGTAAGGCACTTATAAATGATGCCCCATCTCTTCTCTGAGCGTCGTCCTATCTTGACCTGAAACGGTCCGAAGCAGTCGACACCCGTTGAGTAAAACGGCGGCTTGTATAAGCGCAGACGGGCCACAGGTAAGTCAGCCATCTTCGGGATCAACGGCTTAGATTTCCATCTTCGGCACTCTTTGCACTGGTGTTGCACTCTCCGAATGGCTTCTCTTCCCCGAAGAATCCAGAAGGCCCGACGCATCTCTGCGAATACTCGCTCAGGGCCTGGGTGACAGAGACGAGCATCATAGTCCTGGATAAGGAGTTTCGTCGCTGGATGCAAGGGGTCTAGAACAATAGGGTGCTTGAACGTTGCGTCTAACCATTCAGCGTGCCGAAGTCTCCCCCCAACCCGTATGATTCCCTCGCCGGGGTCCAGTTCAGGGGACAGGGTAAGGAGACGACTACTTCGGAGTACTGCTTTCCCTGCCTTAAGGTGCCGTAACTCCTCTGGGAAGCATTCAGCCTGGACTCTCTGGAAGATCGTCATCTCTGCCTGCCGATAGTCTGCTGCTGTCAGGGCCTTATCTCGATCTGCCGCCCCATGCCACTCCTGCGCTACGGCCTCGACCATGGCCCTCCAACAAAGGTATGACTGGCTCAAATGTGTCTCTGGTAGGTCTGCTCTCGATACCACTCCGCACGAAACTGACTTCTTGTACTCAGTGACATCCTGTTCTGTTACCTCTCCAGGTAAGGATGGCCATTCAGCAGGTCCCTTGAGGAGGAAGGAAGGCCCTTGGCTCCAACGGTTCGGCTCGGCCAACTCTGCCAAGGTCTTCCCTCTTGTCACATCATCTGCCGGGTTCTGTGTGGAGTCAACGTAGCGCCAGGTACATCCTCCCGTAAGCTCTTGGATCTCGGCTACACGAGTACCCACGAAGACTTTAAAGCGGCATGACTCTGACTGCAACCAGGTCAACACTGTTGTAGAGTCACTCCAAAGGATTGTCTGATCTGTCTTCACTGTCAATTCTCTCTCTATTGTCTTTGCTAATTGGGCAGCCGTCAGGGCACCACAGAGCTCAAGGCGGGGTATGGAATGCTGTCGACGGGGCGCTACCCTGGATCTAGCCGCCATGAATGCCAGGTATACTCGACCCTGGGCATCTTCTGTTCTCAGGTAAGAGACGGATCCATAGGCCTTTTCAGAGGCATCACTAAACACGTGGACCTGTCTGGAGGTAACCATCTGGTCGGTATGAGGTGGTGCATAAGGTCGGGGTAATGATATACGTGGCAGCAGGTGCAACTCCGATTCCCACTCCTCCCATGCCTTTCGCAGATCGTGAGGGATGAGTGGGTCATCCCAGTCACGCGGCTTGTCCCACATGCTCTGGACAATCAGTTTGGCGCGAGTTGTGTAGGGTGCGATAAATCCCAGGGGATCATATTGTCGGGCTAGCACCTTGTAAACATTCCTCATCGTGAGTGCTCCATACTCCAAAGGTCGGCTCTTGTAGCCCAAGGTATCTGTCTGCCAGTGCCAGCTGAGGCCAAGGGCCGGTTCCAACAGGCCTGGTTCTTCCTGTGAAAGCCATCGTTCCATGCTATCAGATCTTGCTTCTGCAGGTAGGTGCCTGAGAACGTCAGGTATATTGCAAGCCCACTGGCGAATCTCAAACCCTCCAGATGCTAGCACTTCCCTAAGCCGGTCCACCAATTCCTTGGCTTCTTCTGAGGTATGCACACTCTGCAGACAATTATCCACGTAAAAACAGCGCCCCACTGAATGCCTGACTCCCTCTTCAGGACCTCCGTGATCTCTTGCATGCATTTGGAGAGCGAAGGTGGCGCAACATGGTGAACACGCAGTGCCAAATGGTAAGACCTGCCACGCAAAGACATCAGCGGGGTTCTCACGTTTCATGTCCCTCCAAATGAACCTGAGAAGAGGCCGGTCTTCAGGTAAGAGCTGGACTTGGTGGAACATTCCTCTGATGTCACCACAAACTGCCACCGCATGTTCCCTGAAGCGCAGTAAAACTCCCAGCAGAGAGGCTCCCAATGTTGGTCCAGGAAGGAGGGTGTCATTGAGGCTTCGACCTTGGAATTGAAAGGAGCAGTTGAAGACCAAACGACTCTTCCCATTATGGCTCACCAAGTGGTGTGGTATGTACCACGACTCATCTGAGGTCAAGGCTTCCCCTGGGTCAATCTTCTTGACTGCTCCAGTCTCCACTAACTTGCGAATCGCTGCGGAGTACTCATCAGCTCGTAGGGGGTCCCGGGCCAATCGTCTCTCCAGACCTCTGAGGCAGGGTAGGACGGCTTCCTTGGGAGCTCTGAGTGGGGGAACGCCTTGCTTCCTTAGCAGGGGCGTGGCATATCTAAGGATACCTGCGACCTGTACTCGCCTCGTCCTGGCCTCCAAGTGCTCCAGCGCTTCCTTATCCTGCTTCGATCTCATAACCGACTTGTCGGTCTGGTATGGCAGTATGTCCATCTTCCAGAGTTTCTCGACGTTCTGCATCAGCTCCGTCATCTGGGGTGAGATACTAGTGAGGAGACACTGCTGGGCACTCGGAGCCCACTGGGTAAGGTGTGCAGGTCCTTGGAGCATCCATCCCAGCCTCGTGCGAATGGCCGCCGGACCTCCAGGAGGGCCCAGTCTCACCGGCTCGACAGGGGTAAGTAGATGGGGGTAGTCTGCACCGATCAGCACGAGCGGCTTGACGTGTTCAAATGGCTCAAGGGGGAGGTCTGCCAGGTGCTTGTACCTCCTCTTCAGACTGGCGATGGGGTAGGAGTGGTCTGCTAGACCCAAGCGTTGTGAAGTGAAGGCCTCCACTATCTGGAAAGTTCTCTTGGGATTAGTTGGGGATGAGATTTTGAATGAAACAGCGGCTCCCTTCAGGGTTTGAACTTCCTGTCGAATTGTGCGGAGAGCGAGATCTTCAGGCTTCTTATGCAGGCCCAGTTTGTCAACTGCCTCAGGGAGGAGCATTGTCCGCTCCGATCCATCGTCCAAAATCGCATAAGTGTCTAGTGTCCGGTCTCTGTTGCGCAGGAGAACTCTGACGACTTTCAACAGAACCCGGGCATGGGACGATGGTCTGTCTAGGTACAGAACTTCCGTACTGGTGCTTACAAGACAGCTTTCAGCTTTCGGGTGCTCAGCCTTGGGGCGTGCGTTGACATCATGCAGTACCCTTAGATGCTTTCCTTGGCACACATCACAGAGCCTCTTGAGGTCACATTGCGCTGCTTGATGTGCTCTCCCGCATCTCCAGCATCTCTTGTTGACTTTGATCCACTCTATGACCTCCTCTTGGGTGAGTCTCTGAATAGCCGGACACTTATTGAGGAAGTGCTCTGTACCCTCGCAATACGGACAGTAGGGTTTCACTTTGCCTTTCCATCTCAGCGCGGATGAACTCTGACCTTCTTGTCTAGTTGCTTGGTTCGACGTATGGCTCTCAGCCCCATGTAGGATCGTAGCTACGGGCTTGCTGCGTCGCTTCTCGGCTCGGTAGCCAGACAGCCCTGGGGTGCGGAGGTCAGATGGGTTGTCATATCCTTGACACCACGACTCGTATCGAAGCCATTCTGCCAGGTCAAGCAGTGTATGAGTATGTCCAGGACGATGGAACATCTGACGTCGGAAGTTAGCTCTCATCTCCATCGGAAGCTTGGTAAGGAGTCGGGCCACATGTGAGCCACAGACTTCTCCGTCTTCTCCGTCTGGCCCCAGTGTCTGTAGCATGCCCACAAGTGACTGTATGTGCAGGGAGAAGGCAGCTATGAATCCATCACTGCAGCAATTCGCTTCAAGGCTACGTGGTGTGGCTGGCCAAACTTCTCAGTCAAGGTTGCCATGGTGTCCGTGTATGGCCTAGGTGAGTTAATGAAGGAGTCAGCGATAAGACAGGCTTCTTCAAGTTTCACATGATCCACAAGTATCTGATACTTGAAAAGCTCCGAAGTATCAGTGGGTAGCAGGTTTGCTAAAGCTAATTTCAGCCGAGAGAACTCCATCGGGTCATTATGGACAAAAAACGGAATTTTCGGCACAGGCCCCTTGTAGTCTCCTACCCTTGGAGTTGCAGACATTGGTGAGAACTGTCTGCCTGAGGCGGGGTGTGGCAGGTGGATATCAGGCCTAGCTGGATACTGAGTTGGGGATGCCTCATCTGTGCGATATATACTGGGCTGCGGCCGTGAAATAGGTGAGTAAAGTTTTGGCCTCTGGGTGCTGTACCGGATGTCATATTCTTCAGGACCTCGTCTCGGCTGAGGGGGGGTCAAGCTCCGAGGGGTAGAATGTGGACGAGTGTGAGCTGTAATGCTGGATGATACACTGTCCCTCATGAGCTGTAGCTCGCTCATCATTCGGTCTATGACAATGACCACTCGCTGCTCCTCACCAACTGCGGACTTTGGGGGGTTGTCAGATGAAGGCCACGGTGGAGGAGGCAGTCCCTCATCATACTCCTCTTCCTCTAGGGCTAACCAGTCATCTGGTAATGGAAGGGGTGGCATTGGCCATTGCTCTGAGGTCTGATCCCTCTGCACTGTTCCTCTCATTCTGACTGAGGCTGTTGACTCACGCGATTCCTTCCTATTATCATAAGGTGAGGTAGAACTATGCTGCACGCTCTCTCTGGTCCCACTTAACTCAGCTCCCTCTTCTGTGTGGGGTGTATAGATAGGTAGCCATCCTAACCTTGTGTCGCTGAAGCTCTCCTCCGAGCTTGGGAAATAATCGTCCTGTGCCCAAGCAGTCCTACCCCATGTCACGTGAGGCTGCGAGCTCCATTCTTCCCCTCTAGGCATGGGTTGTGCAGGACTATCAGGTGCTGGGCCATATCTCTTGGGTCGCACTACTGATGCAATATGCGATCACTCAGTGCCGAGTTGCTTCACTTCCGATCTCCCGTGTGCGTCGTACTTTCATAATAAAAGTCCCTGTTCTAGTCGTTGCTATAGTGCTTCTAATTCTCTCAATGGCCTTTTGCACAAATACGGTGACATGCCAATCAGCTAATCAACTCAAAACACCTGCAAAGGTTTCCTGAGCCTTCAAAATGGTCTCTCAGTTTGGTTCACTAGGCTACACAATCATGGGGAAGACTGCTGATCTGACAGTTGTCCAGAAGACAATCATTGACACCCTCCCATGATTGTGTAGCCTAGTGAATCAAACTGAGAGACCATTTTGAAGGCTCAGGAAACCTTTGCAGGTGTTTTGAGTTGATTAGCTGATTGGCATGTCACCATATTCTAATTTTTTGAGATAGTGAATTGGTGGGTTTTTGTTAAATGTGAGCCAAAATCATCACAATTAAAAGAACCAAAGACTTAAACTACTTCAGTCTGTGATTTATTTAATACACAAGTTTCACAATTTGAGTTGAATTACTGAAATAAATGAACTTTTCCACGACATTCTAATTTATTGAGATGCGCCTGTATGTGATGTGCGTGTTTACATCGAAGACATATTTTTTAGTGTCTGTAATACGTATTGGATGATTCCTCAGATGTTAAATTAACATTTATAAAAAGTCTTTAAGATGTTCATTATTTAGAACGTTTGTAAAACTGACATCTTAAAGACGTTTATCAAATGTTTGTACACAGCAGATGCCTTCTAGATGATGTGATCGTTAAAAGACATCCTGCAGACGTAGGCTACGTGTGCATCTGGGTGTTTTATAGAACTAATGTGGTTGCGTGCATCACATATGACATATATGTTTCTTAATGAAATATGTATTATTGTAAATTATTATAAAAAAAAAACATTATTTAAATAAACTTAACATGGGTTTATAATGGTTGCTTATAATAAACCCACCTAAGAGAGCAGAGAAATCTATAAGGCCTACCTGAGGCTGATGATGGTGCTTGGCCAGTCTTAGCAATTTCTGCGATTTGGCTGTCCTTTTCCATCCAAATAGTGCTTTGGTAGATTTGGACTGGGTTAAAATCATAGTCTGTGACATAAATTTCTCTGACGTCCTCCTGGAAAACTTGTCTTGTCCGAGTAGGGATTTAAATGTCCGATAATTTGGACATGTAACGCTTAACACATAATTACATTAAACTAAAACCAACATCAATGGTCATTACGTAGTTCAAACAGCATTTATAATAACATGATTTTTAGCTAAATATGGCAGGGGTATTTTGGTACAAACATTTTAAAAAGTACTGAAAACATTTGAAAGTGATGTATAAACCCATGTTTCATATTAATATAACATCATTTAATATTGATTTATTTTATTTTTTTGCCGGACTTGATACCAAATAAATAGATTGTGAGTATTGATATATAGATACTGCAGTACTGATGTGCCCATCCCTAGTAAATTACTCCTGTAACTACACAAACTATGGCATCATTTATGCCATATCAGTCCTGAGTCTGATAATACAGTCAAGAAAAACAAGCTGATCAACCTGAACCACCTTTGAAAGTACAATTTATATATTTATTTTTACCACTATTCAGAAAGCAGTTGTCAGAAAAATTGTGAGAATGCAACAAAAGGTTGTGGTTGTACTGAGGGTTTTATTGATGCACTGAGCAGCCATATTCAGAACTCAACTTGAGGCGGTGTTCCAGTATAAAGTTTCTCTTGCAAACTCAAAATTTCTGACTTATTTTTTTCACTGAAATTCATGTTTCATGATCCGTGTGACAATTTCTGTTAACTCCATTATGTATTCAGTGTGCTCCTCATTGTAAAGAGACCGTAGTGTTAAGATGGGAGGGAGGGAGGGAGGTCTGGGTGATGTTGAATTGAGATGTTACTTTGCTTTCATTCTGACTTGTTTGCAAATTTAAAAAAATAAATCTGACTTACAAGCACAAATGGAACGCACCATTATAATTACCTTTGTTTGAGGGCCAGCAGTAGCCAGCAGGCGGGTATTATGCAAATGTATTAAATTGTGACGTAGCTACTGTATGTCACAGAAATAATGACAGACAAACATTGTAGGATTGAGGATTTTTGAAGTGGTCACCTTTATTTAAAAGACTCATATATCAGTCCAATCATGTTTTGCTTTAAAAATAATGTCAACATGTGGTTGATAACACAGGGTTTCACAACTCTGGCCCTCAAGGTCTATGGTCCTGTAGAGTTTATCTCCAACCCTGACCAACTCACCTGCCTGTCTTTCAAATGTATTAAATTGTGACGTAGCTACTGTATGTCACAGAAATAATGACAGACAAACATTGTAGGATTGAGGATTTTTGAAGTGGTCACCTTTATTTAAAAGACTCATATATCAGTCCAATCATGTTGGCTTTAAAAATAATGTAAATATGTGGTTGACAACTCTGGCCATACAACTCTGAGGTGTATGGTCCTGCAGAGTTTAGCTCCAACCCTGATCAACTCACCTGCCTGTCTTTTTTTTTTTTTTAGAAATCCTGAAGGCTAGCTTGATTGATTAGCTTGTACATATGTGTTTGATCAGGGTTTGAAGATCAATTTTCCAATAATTATAAAATGTGTCCATATGTTCTCACTCTCTTATTATAGATACACTAGAAAGAAAGAAAAATATTTGAGCCAGAAACAACACTACTAATATTATTTCCTTGTAACCTTTGGATGGTATCTCCTTACTGTGACTCAGTATCCCTGGGAAGTAACAGACAAAATATTTTAGTGTACAAGAGACAAACGAGATACACACACAAGATTAAAACCCAGTAGAAGTTATATTTAGAAGAATATATCTATTGGGTGTTGGGTTAAAACTAACTGGCACTCTATTTATAGCAACTGCATCATCACCACTAAATCATTTACCTGGTTTAGTGCCACATTGACCACTGTAGAGTCTATGCTGTTGGTGGCTTTGCAGGCAAATGCTGAGATAAAGATGGAGATGATCAACTGAAGGATGGAGAACACCAGCAATATTCCAAGGATCCCTGAACCAAACCCCTAAAAACACACATTCAACATGCCCATATTTGAAAGCAGTTCCACAAATAACATCCCAGCAATTATATTGATTTTATTCTGATGACAAGAGTGTATCTCAAAAATCAGGATATAAAAGTTCACAAATATTCTGTCATTTACACACCCTCTTGTCATTTTATGATTTTTTTCTTCCAAAGAAAGTATTTTAAAGACCGCTTTAACACAGTTACAATGAATGAAGACTGAGCGTCCATGCTTCAAAAACACAGGAAAGCACCATATATGTTCATACAACTTGTGTACTATATTTCAAATCTTTTCTAATCACCTAATAGCTTTATGTAAGGAACAACCTGGGGTTTGTATTAAGATTTTCATTGATTAATGACATATACACTCTTAAAAATAAAGGTGCTTCAAAAGGTTCTTCAAGCGATGCCATAGAAGAACCATTTTTGGTTCCACAAAGAACCATTCAGTCAAAGGTTCTTAAAAGAACCATCTCTTTCTTACCTTTTTATAATCTGAAGAACCTTCTTTCGCCACAAAGAACCATTTGTGAAACAGAAAGGTTCTTCAGATGTTAAAGGTTCTTTATGGAACCATTTAGACAAAAAGGTTCTTCTATGGCATCATGAAGCACCTTTATTTTTAATAGTGTAGGTAAATGAGAACAGAATCTTTTTGGGTGAACTTTTACTTAAATAAAACCGCAATTAAAACAAAATAATGTACATTTAGTACCTGAGGATTTATACAGTCATATCCATAGCAATTTTGACGAAACCATGAGGCAATTCCTATGTCT